CTTTCTGTTTTGCTAATCTCTATGTCACTATAAAGTCTGTCCAGAGCCCAACAGTACTCAAACCTTAGGGCCACATGCATTTAAAACTCTACAGAACTCTTATTTATATGGATTAGGGCATCTTGGTGTTGCATAATTAGGCTGAAGATAGACGCCCCAACATTGCAGAGGAACTTTGGGTGACTGTTCAGGCAGTCAGCTGTCTCTGTCATTCTAGATTTTTAGAAGTTGCTTACAATGCTTTTCCTGTTTACTTAGGTAATATTATATCCTTCTGGGGTCTTTGATGTAGTTGAAGACTAGATAGTTATAATAATTTTCCTTGGTTATGATAAAAAGATAAATTAGATAAGAAACCTTAGACTTACAAATATAGGAGAGATAGAATATTTTCTTTAATTTTGCCAAATACAAATAAACCATATAACTGTAATTCCTGTTTGATAACTTTTCTATTATATATAATTTTACTATGTTAAAGTTAAAACTTTCCTTTTTGATTAGACAGAAAAGGGGTAGTGCTGCGGGATGTCTTTCTGTACACTATAAATATGTGTTGCTATGACGGGTTAATAAAGAAGTTGCTCTGGCCTATGGCGAGTCAGGTTATAGCCAGGCAGGAAATCCAAGAGAGAGATAGGAAGTAGAAAGGCAGAGGCAGAGGAGACAACAGCTACCGTCCAAGGAGAAGCAAGATGCCAGCAGACTGGTAACACCACGGCCACGTGGCAAATTATAGATCAACAGAAATGGGTTAAGTTATAAGAGCTGGCTAGCAAGAAGCCTGCCATAGGCCATACAGTTTGTAAATAATATTAAGCCTCTGAATGATTATTTTATAAGCAGCTGTGGGACCACAGGGATGGGTGGGACCGGAGAAACTTTTGACTACAGACAATGGAAATATTTTTTAACTGAAAGCAATTGTTTATCTGTGCTAACCTGTGCTAACCAATAAACCCTTCAAAATGGAAGAAATGAAGATACTTTCAGGATTATAACTGGGATAATTTGTCCTAGGAGAGTATTTAATTCATACTGAGATTCACTATGTCAAATTCATGACAATCCTGACTCAGACTCCCAAGCCTGAGATTAATATGAATGAACTGTCAGCCCTAGCTCAGAAAACATGTCTAAATAAGAACATGCAATTCCTCCATGCATGTGACATGATCTTGGAAAGAATATTTCTAAGTTGCCATTTCATCACTTCTAACAGGAAGGTGAGCACAGGAAAAAAAAGATAAACTATTAAGCAATCCACTTAATGTCAACATGCTTGAAAAAGCTTAGGCTAAGAGAACAATGCTGTTCAACATTACTAAGCATAAACAATGGTAATATTCCTAGAGTTACTCTTACCAAAATAGCTTTAATATAATCAACATTATTGATAACTTGATTGTCATTAATACTAAGATATTATTACTATTAAAAAACCTGCATTATTCTTATCTGAGTTTCAAAAACATAGCTTTGCATATTTTTCCCTAGTATTTTTAATCTCTTGATATATTTTATACTGTTACTCTTTCTTCTAACACTCAGTATGTATGTACAAAAACACAGTACATGTATGAAAATACATTCAAATGCCACCTACAACCAGTTTCTCTACTTTAAAACATAATTCTTCCTCTTCTAATTGACATTAATTTACCCAAAGTTCCTATCTTTCAAATTATGTGTGTGTGCACACAAGTGTGCATGTACACATGTGTGCAGGTCCATGTTCATGTAGGGTGATACAGAGGACAACTTTAGGTATCATTGGGAAGGCCATATACCCACTTTGAGGCAGGTTCCCTCACTGGCCTAAAGCCTACCAATTAGGCTAGACCACTGGTCATAAGCTCCAGGTCTCCTCCTGTCTCCAACCCCAGCACTGGGATTACAGTATGTGCAACCACACTGAGTCACGAGGACTCTGCTCACTAAGCCATGTCCTCATCTCTCTAATATTCAAGAAAAAAGAATTTGTGCAATTTCAAATTTCTAAAGCTTCTACATAAGTATTATTGTGTCATTCTCTTTTCTTACTGGAATTTCTTCTGTCTGTCACCAAACCCCCAACAATATTGTTCAATGATTTGTAATTTTTTCATAAAAATGAATAGGCTAAAGGAAATATTCTCTGCTTCTGAGAGTTTTAGTAAAGCCAATGTAACATAAGTTAAACATTCACTATTTACCAGGTATTTTTACATATATCATATTTTTTTCTTAGTTGCTTTAGTTTTTTGAGATAAGGTCTTATATAACCCAGGCTAGCCTCAAAGTTGCTATGTAGCTGAGGTTGACCCTCAACTGCTGATGCTCCTGCAATCAGCCTCCAAAATTCTAGGATTACAGACAAAATTCACCATGCCTGGCTGTATATGTTTATTAACTTATTTAGTTTCATTATTAATCACACTTTTCAGTGTGAAAACAAAATTACAGATCAGAGGGGTTAAAGGTTATACACATAAGAGAAGCTAAGTGTCTGAACCTAGAGTATCTGTTTTCAAAGTGGCCCTTCCACTACCATAGTCAGCAAGCTTAATATTGAGAGCCAAATCTTTAATATTTCTGAGTTTTGCTAGCCACGCAGTCTGCCACCACCATTCAACTTTGTTGTAGCACAAAAGTAGTCATAGATTATGCATGGAAAAATGAGAATAGCTGTTTTGTCCCCCCAGTAAAACCAAGGTCAGCTAAATATGGAGATCCACTTAACCTGCAGAGGCAGAGGCTGCTGACCTCCGCCCTGTCCTGCAAGGTGGCCTCTCTTCATGATCTTTCCTCTCCATCGACTACTCTTACATCTTTTCCCTCACTTTTTGAAAAACTACGATCTTATGCCCCCTGAAAAATTTAAAACACTTCTGAGGCTATAACACAAACAGTTTCCTTGGAAAATTCACATGTTCTAACTAATACCAATTGTGCCACAGATTAACCTTAGCAAGATGAATCATTTCTAAAATTCTAATAGAAACAGGCACTGTATTTGCAGTGTGAAAATGCTAAAGACACACATTTACAAGCCTCTTTTCTGAAGGCTGAGGCAGGAAGACTACTGATTCCAAGCTTGGCTGGGCACCAGAGTGAGAGTAAGACCAAGATCAACCTGGCCAGTTAGTGAGGCCTGCATCCAAACAAGCAGGCTGGGGCTACAGCTGAGCAGCCAAGCACTTGTCCAGCGTGCATGGAGCTTGAGGGTTAACAACCAGTAACAACAAGAGGCAAGACTGTATTCTGAATTTTATTCAGTTTTAATAACCGAATACTTAATATTTAATAGCCATATTTAATCACAATCCAATCACATTGAAGACAGAGCACCACTAAGGTCAGCAGCCACACAGAACAGCCAAGTCTCAGAACAAGCCTGTGCACCAAAGCAACCACACACAGAACTGAGACTCCCATCACTCGCATTTCATAGCTTAACGGCTCACCTGCACATGGCATTTCACATACAAAGACATAAACAGTGCAAAGAGTAGAGAGAGCGTACCCTTCCACCTCTTCTTCTTTCTCAATCTTGTATCTCTGTACATGCACTCACATGCATACTCTCTCTCTTTTCCTGCTTTCTCCCACCTGTCTGTCTGTGTCTGTGTCTGTCTGCCTGTCTGCCCCCCCCTCACACACACACACACACACACACACACACACACACACACACACAGTATTTTTTTTTTAAATATAAGCAAAGTCCAAATAAAATGGAAAATAACATACGACTGTTGGGCAATCTCCCCTCCCTTTCTGTGTCCAGTACTTTTTCATTCCATTTAGCCTCAATTTTCTCTTGTAAACATTAGGAACACTAAAGTGAGAAGTCCACAGTACAGTGTTGACACAATCAAAAACCAAAGGCTCTGGAGCTGCTAACAGCATCACCATGCAGGCAAGTCTGGGCATTGCTTAAATGACGTGTAACCTAAAGAAAACTCTAGAACAGTGGTTCTCAACTTGTGGGTTGTGACCTGTTTGGGGGTTGAAGGCCCTTTTCTCAAGAGTTGCCTGAGACTGTCCTGCATATCAGATATTAACATTACAGTTCATAACAGTAACAAAATTACAGTTATGAAGTAGCAACAGAAATAATTTTATAGTTGAGGGTCATCACAACATGAGGAACTGTATTAAAGGGTCGCAGCATTAGGAAGGTTGAGAACCACTGCTCTACAATATCCTAGAATTCATCTTACTACTGAGGAGAGCTGGAGGCAGACGAACAGGTATAGTAGCACGTGCCTGTAATCCCAGCACTTTAGGAGACTGAGCAGGAGGGAGGGCTGAGAGTTCATGGCCACCTTGGGCTACATGCCACAATCTAATCTTAAAAAACAAAAACAAAAAAGAAAGGAGTCCTCTTCTCAAAAAGTTAACTACTTTTGAGAACCTTTAAAAATTAAATTAATTATCCACACTCCAGGGCAGGCCTAATGCTCAGGAAGAGCTGACCAATACAAAACAGACTGCATGTTTTATGTCCTCTTGTTTTGGTTATGGTCTGGTGGTCTTTGTTGTCTTGGTTTTTTGCTTCTGTTTTTGAAGAAACACACAGAGACAAACACAAGAGAGAATGAGAACATGAATTTGGGTAGGCATGAAGGTGGGATGGGTCTGGGAGAAGTAGAGAAGAAATTTTTATAATAGTAAAAAAGTATAATAAAAAACTAATCTATATCTGTTTTTATTTTTAAAAAAACAAGAATTTGATACTTTTCCTTTATAGTCACGATTTTAGGCTATTTTTAAACTAAGACTTGTATACTAAAAGAGCTAGGATTCTGTTTTCTGAAAAAATCTACCCAGCACAAATAACCCTAAGGAGACTTGTGTAGAAAGAACCAGAGACACCTTGTCGGCCCCAGGGCAGAGTCCACTGGTCTATGCACAGCTTTTGTTAGTCTGCCTGCACTCCTGCACTGCGAGGAACCACCGTGTTTACAGGTGTACACCACAGCTGCTCGGACACTGGGGACAGAAATGTGTCTTACCAAATTACGCTTCTTCAGTGGAAGAAAGTAATAATAGTGGCAGAAAGAAAACATCAGTGCGTAGCAGGTGAGAAGTTCGGTGTAGAAGCACAGCTGCAGAAAGAGCCAGTGGTTGTCCTCACCCACACAGTTGTTTATCCTGGAAAAAGAAAGAAACACGCACACTTTAGTAAGGTGCTCACATCAGGATTAGGAAGGGAAGCCTCTCCCAAACCTAAAAGCCAACTACTTAAAGATCCACATTTATAAAGTGCCTTCTCCTTCCAAAGGAGGCCAGCTAGAGACTAACCCTGTAGTTCCAGCAGCCCAGTGAGGCAGGAGAGCAGACACTGGGAGTCTCCTCATGTCGACGACATGGGAAGAAAATACAGCATTTAGACCACTGGCCAAAGGATATCCAGTTATAAGAGAGTGAGACCAAGAGGGCAAGAAGGAGAACCTCTCTCTGGCATTCAGCCCTTCTACAGAGCACTCTAGCAGAAGAGAGCAATTTGAATACTTTAGAGGAAAACAGCTCAAACTTACTACTTAGATAGAATTGCAAGGCACAAATTTTATTTTTATATTTTTACTTTATAAAAAAAATTGATCCTTGGCTGCTGAAAATAAAAATGTATTCAAAACCACTTATATGTACTCTCTGTCAAAACAATAGCAAAGTCTAACTAGGAAGATGATGATGCTATAATCATAAACTGTCAAGGTTGATTTAAAATTAGTAAATGCTGCCGGGCGGTGGTGGTGCACACCTTTAATCCCAGCACTAGGGAGGCAGAGGCAGGTGGATCTCTGTGAGTTCGAGGCCAGCCTGGTCTACAGAGCAAGATCCAGGAAAAGGCGCAAAGCTACACAGAGAAACCCTGTCTCGAAAAAAAAAAAAAAAAAAAAAAAAAATTAGTAAATGCTACTGTTACAAAATTAGTATATTTTAAGATTCCATAGAAAAATCTAATTTAAAATTCCAATATGAAACTATTTTTCTCAAAATTATATAAATGTTTTCCTTTCAAAATAGGACTATACTGTCACCAAGGGAGTGTGAATATATATGTGTGTGTGTATATGTCTACATATGTATGTATATATATATTTATATGAAGATATATATGTGTGTCAAGTTCAATTTGTACCTTAAATTGTTATTTTTAAGATGTGTAGTTTTGCATTATTTTTAAAAATCAAACATAGAACTGAGCTGAAATGCTTGTGGGTGGTTATCTGAGGCTACAGAGCACAGACTTGATAAACAGGACAATTCAAAGCTTTGTTATCTTCAAGAGAGGCTTTAAGAGAAGTGAGCTCGTTCACACCTGAAAAGGCTCTCAGCTGTTGTTGCCCCACCCCTCCTCTCCTCCACAGGCTCCAGAACAGGCTCTGAGACAGCATCTAAGGAGCCCTGACAGGCAGAGCACTCACGTCCATCTGTCCACCTGAGCTTAAAGTATTTAGAAAGAATGCTCAGAGACAAAACCCAAAGACGTTAAAGTGTCTGAGAGCTCGTGATTGACTCTGAAGCTGGGACAGTTCAATGCTGAGAACATTAAGAACCCCCTGCTTCCAACTAATACCGTGGACGCAGCAGCGCTCTGTACGAAATTCAATGGAGGAAATCCCCAAGCCGAGATCTGTCAACCTTCCTTGCTAATCTCCTCCCACCAACACCCTGAAACAGACACGAGAAGCAAGAAGCCTGGGGACAGAAATATCTCAGCACCACACTTGAAGTTAAAGGGTGCTTCACTTCCTCACCAACAAGCTGCTCTTTACCTCCTAAAAATACACCACTAGTATTAACAGGCACATTGCCCAGACGATGTTTTTAAACTTTAAATTATGGCATTCTCTTGTAAGGAAGATTAACACCCAACTGTACCATGAATATTTAATATCATTTTAGTTCATCAGGAAAACTAATACAAAAAAGTGCTCTCTGACTTTTCAATGTGATTACCACTTATCTGAATGCAGATTTCACATAGTATTTTCCATGTACTATTACTGTGGCTGTAACTATCACTGAGGTTTAAAATAATTAATTGAGAACTGATCTATTTAAAATGTGAGGCACATTTTTTTGAACACTGTATGACATAGAATACAGTATCTTATAGTAGACTTACACAATTAAAAAACCTCAAGTACTTTTATTTAAAATGCTCTTCTATTTTTCTAGTCTCTGGAATCTATTAAAATAAACAGTTATAGTTAAAAAATACAATTTAAACTACAAGCTTGCTAATTAGCAATGCTATCAAAATATAGCTATAAATAAAAAAGTTATCATAATGAAGTTATTATAAATAAGGGAAGTGAAATTGATAAGCATCATTAGACAAAGGTGAAGTGTCTTCTTTAGCCAAATGCAGGTAAATATCTTTTTTTTAAGTTAAAGGGTGCTATTACATAGTTAGCTTCATATATATGTGCATGTATGTATGTACAAATATATATGGACATATATTTATAAAGTGCTATATCAGTTTATTAATGCTATACCAATTTAAATAATTAAACAAGATCCAATGTTAGAGAAGCAGAATTAAATATAGTATCTTGCTAAGAGATTTTTGTGACAGCTTTGAAATGAAATACATTAGATTCAGAGCATTTGTGGGTTTTTTTGTTTCGTTTTTTTTAAATCTACTTTTTAACAGAATGTCTTTAAATATTACAACAGAGCCCCCTATTGACCAAAAATATTGGCAGTTCCACAGAAACAGCTAATTAGCACTTACATATATCCAACACGCACAAAATGTTAATAATATCCAACAGAAAATACTATAAAAGGCGTAAGGAGTGGAAGGGAGTTCTTAGCAAATCTGAAAAGTGTTGTTCTTCAACGAGTAAGAAAGAGGAATCTCAGCAGTGGCCATTGCGGTTCAGAACCCCAGGAAGAGAAACAGCTGTCAGGTAAGTCCATGTACCAAACGCTCTGCACAAATTGCCTCATTTGATGTGAGCACCTTAGTCCTCCTGTATATTTGGGTGTGTGTTAATTCTGAAGTTTTCTGCTCAAATGTCTTCTTGTTAGCAAAGATAAATCTCTACAGATAATTTGCTCTGGAAATTGCAAGAACCATTTTTTTTACTAAAAGAATATTTAATGGAATGACTTAAGTATTATTTTTGCTTAAAGCTGGAAGGTTCTCAGATTGTTTTTATTTTCATTAACTAATCCTCCTGCCTCAGCTCCTGAGTGCTAGGATTACAGATGTGCACTAACACGTTCAGGATGATTTCACCAGTAATCCTGTTGCTGTCTGTGAGCATTGACGGTCATCTACTCACCAAGGACAGTGGTGGTCCATCCTCCTCACACAGTGGCCACAGCGGCTGCAGTGATGGGAGCGCTTTGGCCTCATCAGATTACACTTGTTGCATAGCTCCCAGAGCTCCCGTTCTGAGAAGGAGAGCAGACCCAGTTAGGAAGACAGCAGGAGAGTGACGGTGAGACGCAGTTACAGCAGTGAGTGATGCTGAGACTCAGCAACTACTCTAAATTCCACAGACTCAACTTGTTTCTCCAAGACATTTCTCTTTTTTCTGAGTCTCCAAAGTAATCAAGTACCTTTGCCATAACTGCTGCTACAAGTTCTGTGTTTTATACATTTCTATTTTAACCTTACAAAAATAAGAAATCATCATTTCAAAGTAAATGACAGAAAGCATGGTTCTGAAAAAAATCATGAGAATATAAGTAAAATCTTATAAAATTCTAAACTCAATCAAAACATTAGAATTTTAGATAAGTCAATTAATTCATACAAAATATTTTATCTAAGAGCACTAAAAAAGAAATAAGACTAAGTCTTAGTTTCAGTAGACAAATAAATTGAAATCAATCTTATAAATTATTTCTCTGAAGCACTTTATTTTTTAATTATTAATGAATTAATTTGAACATATGTATTAGAAACAGGCTGGTGGTCATATTGGGTTTAGAAGACACCCAATAAAAAAAAAGTGAAGGTTAAAAATATCATTAGTATATAATGCAAATAACAAGATGAGTTTTGTTTTTATGAGACAGGGTCTTGCTACAATGCAACCCAGGCAGGCTCTGAGCTGCCAAAGCTCCTGCCACAGCCTCCTAGTACTGGAATCAGCTTTGCCTATTACCCAGTTAGTAATTTCCTTTGGGGTACTGGGAAACAGTCTACAATGACAGGTTTACAGAAGTAAAAAGAAAAGGCACTTTGTTTTCACTATAAATTGTTCTAACCACATCCACAAAAACTATTTATTCATCTTCCAAGATAAAATAATTGCTTCCTTATATGAGATGCATATTTTCTGCAGTTACTAAGATGAAATGTTACCATTATGAAATTCTTAAAATTTCAGCACTTATGCTTCCACTACCTTCATAATCTGACAGTAAACGGACAGACATAGCAGTTTTCATGTGTTATCATGTAGAATATTATCATGTAGAGTGTGGGATGTAGAATATTATCATGTAAAGTGTGGGATGTAGAATATTATCATGTAGAGTATGGAATGTAGAATACTATCATGTAGAGTGTGGGATGTAGAATATTATCATGTAGAGTGTGGGATGTAGAATATTATCATGTAGAGTGTGGAATGTAGAATATTATCATGTAGAGTGTGGAATGTAGAATATTATCACGTAGAGTGAGGAATGTAGAATATTATCATGTAGAGTATGGAATGTAGAATATTATCATGTAGACTGTGGGATGTAGAATATTATCATGAAGAGTGTGGGATATAGAATATTATCATGTAGACTGTGGGATGTAGAATATTATCATGTAGAGTGTGGGATGTAGAATATTATCATGTAGAGTGTGGCCCTTGCATACAGTGGGAATCACTAAATGCCTGCTCAAATACAAAAGTTAAATTTTTAAAAAAGATTCTAAATGTTTTTAAAAGAAGATGACCATAGCGTTCAATTTTCTGAAAGGATTCCCTTTTTAAGTTCTATTACTTTGGTTTAATGGCTGGGAATAGATCAGCATACTCCAATCTTAACAGGAAAGTGTGAGGAAAACACTGCTGTAGACGTTTTGAAGAAACAGGTAAGTAAAAGTACATCTGTACCCAATGAACTATCTGAAACGATCTCTTACAATTCCTTTTTAATGGAAACATATCATGGGAGACACTATGGCAGCAGTACAAACACCTGGAGCTGGCCTTGCTACAGCACACAGGATGGAGACACCTGCACAGTGGCCCCAGCACACGTCCCGTCTACACTCAATCAACACCAGACACCCAACGCTGACACTGACAATTCCCACAAACAAGCAGACAGAAGGAGATTCTCCACAGTGGGCCAATTTCCACAAATCAATCCTTAAAACACAAACATGTTTTTATTCTATCATTTTCTGATGAATTAGCATGGAGCAGTCTATGGAGAATCAGTGCTTTATCCATGTCTAGCATCCTCCTCCTGAGGGAAGAGAACATCTGGCTATAGAGAAGGACAGTAACTTCGCTGCCCAAACCAGGGCTCTTAACTTACCCCACTTGTAACCCTTCTCACCACAGACATTTTTATAGGACCCCAGTTATATAGGTAAATAAGTTTACAAATCAAACATTATTGATGAATCACAGATTATTTGAAAGCAATTATTTGGTTTACACAAGATTTTGACATTTAAAGAATTTCATACCAATAATACTTGTGCTTGTTTCACAAAAGAAAGTTTTGATGAATACTTGATACTGCAAGACAGAAAGCTTTTAAATGTTTCACAGCTGACTGATATTTTGATTTTATAATCTTCAGTACTGAGAACACTGTACGTAAACACATATATGGCATAAGACCGTCTAAAGCCATTTCAGAAATTATTGGAAATTCTGTCATAATACCAAGCCAAAAATCATTTACTGATTTTTTTTTAAATGAAACTCAAGTCAAAAATTTAAGCAAAAAATACAAATTTCTTTCTTGAGACACATCTTGCTATTTAACCCTGGCTTGCCTGAAACTCACTATGTAGACCAGGGTGGCTTTGAATTTGTGGGTAACTCTTCTGCTTCTGCCTCCTGAGTAAGATTATAGGCATGTTCCACCTCACCCAGCTCTTCAAACAGCAATATTTAAGATCCAACATTCCAGTACGATAAACCCAGGATATGCTCATTTGATACATGCATGCAGAGGAATGGTGGTGGGGAAATACTAAGTCCTTGTTTTCTTTAGACTACTGTTTCTATAAGAGGAGAAAACGTATGCACAGTTAAAAACCCTACAATCCACACATATAATAATATAATAGTCACGATTCTGATCCTACGTGTTTCAGGCGGCATTCACAAGGGGAAGGCTGTGTATTTAGAACTCAGTGACTCGACCCAGCTCAGTGGAGGCAAATGCTACCAAAGGTGCCACAGATTCATCATTCATTTGATTTAGAATTAAGCTTGCAACTCAGAAATCTTTTACTGTAGCTCAAGTTTTCCTGAGCCCCACATTCAGTTACAGGACCCACAGTTTAAGAAGCTGGGGCCCAGGCTAGCAGACTAGCAAACTTCAGTATGCAGGGCACTCAAGTCCACTCCTTTTCTGTAAAACCCAAGAACACTTGTGACACAGTATTACAAAACAAAATCTTCGATTTTAAAAAGTACAGCATGTTCTGTCAGTGGTGCTGTAAAAGTGTCCCAAAGCAGACTATGGAGATGGCCACATAGTAAACTGAATACTTTCAATGAATGAATTAAATGACAAGTGACGTCCCTGTAGCTAGAGTTTTCCTGCCTGGCCCACAATCAGGACAAATATCTCTCACCTGCCAATCCCACAGCTGCTCAGACCCAACCAAGTAAACACAGAGACTTATATTGCTTACAAACTGTATGGCTGTGGCAGACTTCTTGCTAACTGTTCTTATATCTTAAATTAATCCATTTCTATAAATCTATACCTTGCCACATGGCTCGTGGCTTACTTGCATCTTAACATGCTGCTTGTCATGGCGGCGGCTGGCAGTGTCTCCCTCAGCCTTCTGCTTCCCAGAATTCTCCTCTCTCCTTGTCCCGTCTATACTTCCTGCCTGGCCACTGGCCAATCAGTGTTTTATTTATACAGAACAAGATCCACAGCACGTCCCCTCAACAAAGCCATTTTTTAAGAGCTCAAATAAGATTATTCCACACAATTTGAAAATGATAGTGATATTTCTAAGTTAGGTTACTGTTTAATACTTGTTATTTCAAATATACATGCAAATAATTTTAATAATATATATGTATAATAATCTCATTTGACTACTACATCTACATGCTCAAAGGTTTTGAAATCAAATTCCAAGGACCTTCTCAAGGGAAAAAAAAACCTTGTGTTTAACTTCACCTCATATTTAGTGGATCACATGTATGCTAAAAGTATCCTGCTGTGGATATAGTTCTGTATAAATAAAACACTGATTGGCCAGTGGCCAGGCAGGAAGAATAGGCGGGACAAGGAGAGAGGAGAATTCTGGGAAGTAGAAGGCTGAGTGGGAGAGACACTGCCTGCCACCGCCATGACAAGCAGCATGTGAAGATGCCGCTAAGCCACGAGCCACGTGGCAAGGTATAGATTTATAGAAATGGATTAATTTAAGATACAAGAACAGTTAGCAAGAAGTCTGCCACAGCCATACAGTTTGTAAGCAATATGTCTCTGTGTTTACTTGGTCGGGTCTGAGCGGCTGTGGGACTGGCGGGTGTCAGACATTTGTCATGACTGTGGGTCAGGAAGGAAAACTCTAGCTACAGTATCCTTTAAAAAAAAAAAAAAAAGACCAACATGTCGATGAGAGACAGAGGTAGCAGAATCAGCTTAAAAGCTTGCAGGCTACCCAGTCTGGAGTATTTCATGTAGCTGCAGAGACAGGACACCCTGCTCCAATGCTTCCCTAAGGTTATTACATTCTACATCTTAGTCAATAAGAAATGACTCCCAAAAGTTGTCCTCTAACCTCTACATACACACTGTGGCGCTCTCTCGCGCTCGCTCTCTCTCTCTCTCTCTCTCTCTCTCTCTCTCTCTCTCTCTTTCTCATACACACAGAAAGAAATATGAAGAAAAGGAAAGAAGAAACTGTATATAAAGTAGTCCTGTGTGATTCAATAAATATGGTTAATAACATGTAAGGATTATGGCTTTAAGTTTCTTTTTCTGAATTATATGAAACTGCTTAACCTTCAAGATTTCACTAAAAAAAAAAATCATGATTCTATATTTTCAACATCTGTCATGCTATATTATTTTCCTATGTTAAATTGGCAACTTTCACTAAGTTAAAAAACATACTTACAAATGTATCCGATAACCAGTGCCAAAGAGTACACGATAACTCCAATCCCCCAAATCAATTACACCAAAGGTGAATGACAAAGGAAAAATGAATCTGCACACACGGTTGAAAAGAAGACAGTGACAGTCCTAAGTGTGTTGACAGCAATGTAACTCTCCAGCGAGGTAACCTAGGACAATCACACTCCTACCCAGCTTATCCATCTCAATTGTCGTAAGAATCATGTGATATGAGACTTGTAGACTTCGAAAAAAATTAAAATGTAAGGAAGAGAGTTCATTTGTTTGTTTTAATTGGGTAATGGAGAAGTTCTTTGGTCTCTTAAGAAGAAAATTGCCACCATCAAATAAGACAAGACAAAATGTGAATCCCCCTAAGTCAGCAAGATTCCCTGGTGTTCTTGGTCACTGCATCTATAAAGAAACCAGGACAAGCGGTGGTTTTATATGGACTCCAGTCAGCACAGATACTAGCATATTCTTTGTGGAGCTGGGGAGATGGCTGAGTGATCATGAGTACTTTCTACTCCTGCAGAGGACCAGGATTCAGTTCCCAGCACCCAGTTCCAAGGGACCAAGGGAATCTAATGCCTTCTTCTGGCCTCTGGGGACACCTGCATGCACATGGTGTACATACACACACACACACACACACACACACACACACACACACACACACACACACACAGAATCCATAAAACTATATTATTTGTTTAATGTTCAATGCTTTTATAATTTCATCACTTGTTGACTTATTTATTTGCTTATTTATTTATTTATTTATTTATTAGTTTTTTGGCTTTTCCCCCAGTGTTAAGAGTTTGAATTCAGAGCTTTATTGGTAGTGGATTTGTTTGTTTGTCTGGATGGTTCTTTGAGAGACAGTGAATGTGAGTGTCTATGTCACCATGTACTTCAACTGGGCTCAAATTCAAGATCATCCTCAATTAGACTGATTTTTTAATAATAAAATCTCTTATAAAAATTGAGACTCCCGCCGGGCGGTGGTGGCGCACGCCTTTAATCCCAGCACTCGGGAGGCAGAGGCAGGCGGATCTCTGTGAGTTCGAGGCCAGCCTGGGCTACCAAGTGAGTCCCAGGAAAGGCGCAAAGCTACACAGAGAAACCCTGTCTCGAAAAACCAAAAAAAAAAAAAAAAAAAAAAAAAAAAAATTGAGACTCCCTAATTCTCATGTTTGGATGAAGTTTGAACACAAAGGTCTATGTATTAAGAGTTTGGCTGCGAACAGGAAATGTGAACGCTGACAGACTCTGAAATGTGATTGCTTGTTCTTGCGAGCATCTCTGCCACTGCTATCCATGAAGATATGACACAAAGGGTGTTCAACCAAAGCTGAGCCAGTATAGATACCTTCCCCTGGACCTCTAGGCTATGAGCCAAATGAATCTCGTTTCTCCATCAGTATTTCATTACAATAACACAAAACTACACAAAGAACTGGATTCTAAGGGTAGGATTGTTACAATAACTCTTTAGCGAAAATGTGCAACTGGTTTTAGAATTAGGCTTCTGGAAGAGTTAGGGAGAACACACTAGAAAAGCCTAGAATACTGTAAGCAAGGCCTTATGGGCAGCTCTGGAGGAGGCTCAGGAAGGAGTTAATGTTTGATGGAAGGCTTCTCACGTCAATGTGTGCTAAATAAATCTTTTCTTCATAAAACTTGCCTACCTTGGGTATTTCATTGTAATGACAAAAACTTAGCAATGTGCCCATTTTTCTCTTCTAAAATTTTAAGATCTAGTAATTGAATTGGGTGACAATTCCACAATAGCTGATCATGGCCACTCCCTTTACACTGTCTTTTACGGACTAGCTGTGTCAGGAGCCCATAGATACTTGAGTGTGTGACCACTGCAAACAGAAGTGTTCCTTAGAAGTGGGTCTGGAGTTACAAAAGGCCTGTTTCTTTGTTCTGGGGCTACTGGACTTCAGTGTTGAAGTAGCAGCATAGGAATATGACATGGACATCTTTCTGATATACTGCCTGGGAGGAAGAGGATTACAGAGTACCACCTCTCTGTTCTCACCCCCAAACAAATGCACATTAGCTGCTGAGAGGCTGTGCTGCTACTGCTCTGTGTGAATAAAAATCACATATTCAATACAATGCTACAGCAATACAAACATCAGTGTGAAACCCCTATCTAATCTATACATTTGTGCACCAAGTAAGGCTCTGAATGGCAGGTCTCAAAAACCAAGAACCAGGATTTCTGGAGAGCTCTGTGTGGTGACTTGCCAATCTCATTTCACGTGGAATTACCACTTTGGTTCCCAGGCTCTGTTACACACTGAAACCATGGGAGAATCTTTCAACACACACACACACCAGTGTCAGTGTCCAAGTATTCTGATTTACCTAATACAGGCTGTGATCTGGACACTGAGATTTTTTTTTTAAAGCTCTCTGGGTAATTTAAAGTACAAATTAGGAAACCACTAAATTACTATGGAAAATGCTCTGGTTCCAACATGGACTACAAAAACATATAGAAAAGTACAGAACTCTAAAAGTTAACATAGAAATAATAAAATGAGCTCAAGAGAGATAAAAGTGAGCTTCTATTGTATCTGGCATATAACAAAATAAACAATCCATTTTCATTTTTTTTTTCGTGATTTGAATGGCTATCTGGCAACAGAATAATAAAAATTATCTTTAATTGATATCAAGATCAAAAGTTTTCAATTCTTCATCAAGTTGTTAGACTCTACAGAAGACAGGAAATAGTGTCCATAACACTGACAATATTTGCTCTAAGCAACTTATCAATATCACAAGATGAAAATCCTGTTCTTAAATAAATCAGAATTTCTCAGGTAATTTGTTTCATTTAACAGATAGTTATCTGTTGTAAGTGGCAGACTCTTCTGGAGACTAGAGACACAGTTCACAACAACACACACACACAGAGGGGAAAAGAACCTACATGTTCAGAATAGATATGGAGCTAAGGGGTGAGGAGGAAAGAACAGTCTCAAAAGGAAGAAGTGGGGAGGGGTCTTGCAACTGAAAACAGACATGTTAGCAAAGACTTCAAAAGTGGTTTCAAATGACTTACAGAACCCATATATTACAGGTAATAAGATATGTTAATAAATATTAATAATTCTAGCATCAGCAAAATGGATAAACCTAAAGAGAACCCTACCTGCATGTGGGATCTTGGGGTTTTCAGGGAGTCTTCCAGGATCAGTTAAGGAGGCCCTCACTAAGGCAACCAGACAGAATATGGAAATGCCATAGAATACTATAATATGAAATTAAATAGAAAAATTAGTCATTCACACTTTAAAATGTTTTATCAACAAGCATAAAGTTTAAAAAATGCATTTTAATCAGCCCCATCAGGATAACTTTATCAATAGACTAGATATTAAAATGAAGAGGATTTCTTTTACTCATCAAATAGTCCTGCCAAGATGATAACTACACTAAATGTACCAATTTCAATATGATTTTCTAAAATAACTGATAAACTTAAAATAAATGAGATTCTTTCACACAGTGACCTCTGATAATGATAAATAAATGGATGGACTCATTTAAAAGGATCAAAACAGCCTTTAAAAAATATTCTACATTTAACCTTTCATCAACTCTGTCTTCAAAATTATCCTGATTATTAGTGAAATTCAATTGCTTCCTTTGATGAATCTTAAGAGATGTACTCTTAAGAATTAAGAAATGAAGAATTAGAAACTTTTGAATGTTAAAGTAACCATAAAAATAATATTAAGGAGCAACTGAGATTCAGTCACTATAATTACACAATTGAAGTTAAAACATGGGCCTTTTGTAGTGGACTAAAAAGCCAACACATTGAACACATGAAAGGCAAACAGTGTTCACTGAATGTGTGTCTGACTGCAATGTAAGTGTGTTTGTTTGCTTGTCTGTCTGATGTACATCTTACTATGGAGCTCAGGCTGGCCTAGGCGTCACCATTTTCCTGCTTCAGTCTTCCGAGTGCTAGGACTACTGTATACATGATCATATCTAGCAATATGGATCAGTCTTGTCACATGAATAATAGGGATTATAATTTCTTATAGCTCTTAGGAGATCAAAATGAGGGGAAGAACATGAAAGCTGTAAACACTATGGATGATCTCATGAGTCATTTTTGGGGTCATGAAATTCTCATCTACCAGTAATATATCCCATCCCCTTCTCAATAATGCCTCCATTTTCAAGCCAGGCACAGTGATACATGCCTGGGGCCCAGCATGAAGAAGGCAGCAGAAGAATGGCAACTCTGAAGCCATCTTAGGTGACAGAGGGAAGCCCTGTCTCAAAACATCAATCAATCAATCAATCACCTCCCATATCTGCAGTTAAATCCAAAAGAGAAATAAAACTGCTGTCAGGCTTCTCTTAACAAAATGGTCTTCAAGTACTTTTCAGAGTGAAATGAATATGGAGGTAGAATCTTAACTCTGCAAGTCCAAAAAAGCTACTGTTTTTATACAACTGTAATTTAAGTAAAAGGTTAGCAGTACTACTGAAATAGCATATTCAAAGGAAGTCATGGAGACAGTGTACTTCAAAACATTCACAATGAGATTAAAAAAAATCTTTATATAAGGTAATAAGACTTAGAAACTTACTTATTATTAAAATGCCTGGAATATGTCCTTCTTCATAGTGAGGAAAGAGGACAATTTTGGGAATTAAAACAATATTGTATAACCAGACAAAGACAATCAAACCCATGCAGCACCAACCATGTGGGTCAACAACAAAGTGAATCCGAAGACCCATTCTGCAGTTCTAGAACTGCCTGCCAACCCACAGGAAGACAATCCTAAGAGAGAGGAAAAGGGAAAGTTACTAACACGGAAAAATTACTCAACCAAGAACTGTGTCCCTGGAAACTACATAACAACATTTACTGAATTTTCTTTGTATATTTAGGTTTTGTCCACTAGGAATTTAGGGGAACAAATAGAAAATTCACTAAAATCTTCAAATAATTTAATTGTAATTGTTCATTCTAAATCATCATTAGTAAAAGTGAAAGTTGGCATGATCTGCTCAAATGAAAATACTTTATCCTTAACTACAAATGCCATGTGTAGACACAAAAGAAAGAGTGACTCTTCCACCGAAAGACATGTACAAAAGTCTTAGCACTTTAACCAGGAGCCTAACATCACAGACTCGAATCTGGTTATCTTACAGTAGAAGAGGTGTGTTCTACCTGGAAAGGAATTGGAACCGCTACAGGGCCAAAAACATCTGCACCTTTATCTGGGTAGTACTTTGTAGATATATGTAAATATAAACATAAAGACTGTATATGTACTTAAAACCGCAATGAAAAATGTTATAAACCATTTTTAAAATGCTAAAACTAAGTGAAAATTACAAATAGTTAAAATGATTAAAATTTGTGGGATGAAGCCCAACTCATTTCATTACTATCAACTAAAGAAGACTCCTGTTTAAATGGGACTTTCATTCAGCTGAGAGTTAACAGCAGCAACAGATCCCCATATGATGCAATCTCCAAGTGAGCTGAAATTTCAATCACAAGTGATGTCCATCAAGTGACCTACAACATATCCATTCTGTAGTGGGTATAACTTACAAAGATTAAACAGCAGTTTATTGTATATAGTCTAAGGGCATCTCTGACATAAATTATTGTGGTATAATAATAAATTAGACCAGTCATCCTCAAACTTGCAGCAAACCAGAATCAATTAGGGAGCTTTAAAAAAAGGGAGAGAGAGAGAAAGATTCCCAGACCCCATTCTAGGGCCACAGAATAATTCCTCACAAGGCTCAAAACCCAAGATGACTGCTGCTGGCTCGGTACTTGTACTTGTACCAGCTGTTTCCTAAACACTGTAGATACAATTATCTTTTTTGTTTTTTGAGACAGGGTTTCTCTGGGTAGTTTTGGTGCCTGTCCTGGATCTCACTCTGCAGCCCAGGCTGGCCTCGACCTCACAGAGATCTGCCTGGCTCTGCCTCCGAGTGCTGGGATTAAAGGCGTGCAATGCCCAGCTGTAGATACAATTATTAATAAGGCATGATCTTTGCTTAAATCAGTGGTTCTCAACTATGGGTCATGACCCCTTTGGCAAACCTCTATCTCCAAAAATATTTACATTACAATTCATAACAGTAGACAACTACAGTTATGAAGCAACAATGAAAATATATGATTGGAGACCACCACGACAGGAACTATATTAAAGGGTCAGAGCATTAGGAAGGTTGAGAACCACTTTCTTAAATATACAAGTCCAGTTGGAAGAAGTCATTTTAAAGGGGTTAAATTTACTATGGTAAGTTCTAGATCTGTGAACAAGTTGTCATTTAATGCACAGAAGATGGGGCCTAGTTACATCGGGATTCAAGCAGGACTTCCTGAACAGATACAAACAGCTCAATCTTAAAAGATGTAGGAGTTATCTTGGCAAAAAAAAAAAAACATGGCAAAGGATTGCAAAGAGAGGCAAGAGCAGGGTGACTCTGACCTGAGCATCACAGGAGGGTCACAATCTGCCACCAAAAGTCATAATACCTCCCAGGGACTGTGACTCAGGGAACACAGAGGAGCTCTACCATGAGGGAAACAGAGATGTCATTTAGAATGCTCAAACTTTATTCTTAAAGCTATTAAAATGGGGGTTAAGTAAAATTTCTACTTTAAGTTATTGACACTCATGTGGAGACTAAAGTTAAAGACAGATCAGTTAGAATAAAAGAATACAAAAGCCAAAATTAATTTTAGAGAAGAGACCAATTGAAGTAAAATCAAATCAGTGAGCCTTACTAATTGATTCACTACTAGGAGTTAAAGAATAGACAAGGATGACTCTCAGATCTGCAGTTGATATGATACCCCCAACTACATGATTCTCCCACCAAAGGGCCTTTAGGGTGATCAGCGGGGCCATAGGCTACCAAAACAAAGATCAAAGGCCACTTAAGTTAAAAAGAATACCTCTTCTCTCATCCTTAGAAACTCCCAACTCCTGAAGCAACAGAAGAAAAAGAACTCAGCTAAGCAACAGTAGACTTCTTTTTTTTTTTACCTTTTTTTTCATTTTTATTTATTTATTTATTTTTCTATTATCATCTTGATACAGTATAAATTCTTATCCTAATAGTGAAATGTTTCATTGAGGCTTGCCCAGTAATTGAGTAAACCCAAAACTTATTATAAGCCACAGTCATCCTAGGATCCCCCCTGCTATGTAGCCTCCCTGGTTCTGTGGGTTGCAGTCTGATTGTTCTTTGCTTTCTATCTAGTATCCACTTATGAATGAGTACAAACCATGTTTGTCCTTCTGGGTTTGGGTTACCTCACTCAGGATGATATTTTCTAGTTCCATCCAGACTTCTTGCCTAGCATCAATCCTCAGAACAACGATGAAAATAAACTAACTTAAAATATATATTTAATTTAAAAGGTACTAGTTTCCCCTTGGGAAAAAAAATGGCAAGAATTCAAACAAAATACTCTCAACAATCTAAATCAGATAAAGTTCAAATCAGTATTTTCATAAGAATGCTAAAATAGGAATAGAGCCTAGGTCTTTTAAAAAGACCATTTAGTCAGAAACTTACAGGACAGTTCAGTGTCGCTAAAGTAAAGAAAATCAGAGAGAATAAAGCACATTGTGTATTTCCTAGGAATCATCACACTAAAAACTAAAGAAGCACAAATACAAATACATACATAGTTAGAGAGACACATTCCAAAGAATAATTTGGGAGGATGGGAAGCTGAACAGGGGCTTTGCTGTGTAACTATCAAGGGCTACAAGAAAAGACAGAGGCTCTGACTCCCAACATACTCAGCAGTACGAACTTCATTTGCCTCTTCAGCTTTCCATGCTTTGGTTCTACCCAAGACTGAAAACTCATTTCACATTCCTAATCTTGTTAACACGAGAAACAGAAACACATACAAATCTGCTAAGCAAGTAGGAAAATCATCATCTATTCACCTTTTGAACTGTTTTTTAATTCCTTCAGTTTTGAAGTGACAATGTTTTTTTATTATTAAAGATCAATCCCTCACAACAGAAACTACTACACAGTGACAAAACCACGTGAGATGGGTCTGTTTCCCTGAATGAAAATATATGTAGATGGGAAACTCTAAAACAGCATCCTCACGAAGACCGAGCCCAGAGAAATTAAACAGGGAACACACTGTTGAATACTGAGAACAAATACCTGATCAGTAAAAATCAGCGGCACATGGTCCTTGCAGTAGGCTGGGAGAACCGTGGTCTTCTGAGAGCCCACAGCTGCTTACAGCCAAGAGCCTGTGACTGGTGAAGTGGCAGGATCACGCCAGTGTGGATGGCTACCAGGTGTGGCTGATGGCTGGACAGAAACTATTACACACCCTGAGCAACAATCAAACTGAACAGCGCTGCTCAGGCTTACGGGCGGCATTTGCCAAATACTTTCATTAGCTGGCGATCCCCACATGCTAATTTGTATATTAAATGTGAGCTCATAATCAAACTTTGAAGTGACTAGTTGACAAACTGGTTCGTCAACACCGAATTGCTATCTGGTGACTATAGTATAGTGACTAGTTTCATATGGATGTAAATTACTACAGCACAAACTACTTTTAAAGAAATTATAATTCAACTATAATAAACTGCCCTGAGGAAATATTTACAAAGTTCAGTTTATTCTGAAGGTATACGATCTTTCCTGTCTTGAACCTTTAGTGCGCCACCTCAGAAAAAAGATTTGAGTCACTGAGGGGAAAAAAAAAATAACAAAAAAATGACTAAATGACAGAAGATTTAGAGAAAAATAAGGATTAGCCAAAATAACTAACAAGAAATGAAATCAAACATATATTTGTAAACTTAAGTTTTCTATTTAGCTAAAACTGGTTTTATTACTATTCCATAAGTATGAAAAATATTCATCATTTGCTGTTCGTGTCTGAAGTATCCCCAGCACTCTGCTTACTGTTTAAATCCCAAGCTAATACAAACTTCCCTGGCCCTTTAGTTCACAATGATAGTATGTATGGCTGATAAGCAACAAAGTACATATATGAGGCATCAACTCACAAACAGAAAGAAAATCTAATGGGTCATCATTACTGATGAGGAAATGCAGAGTGACTAGGTATTTTTTCATATGTTGAGAAGGCACAGGGAAAAGAGCACTCCCATACATTGCTGACCTGCACGTAAATGATACAGACCTCTTGAGAGGGCAATTTGGCACACCCATCAAAACGTGAAAGCCTTTAGCCCAGCAGTTTTATTTATACTACCTATGAAAGCACACTCCCAAGTGTGTACAAAGTAGACAGAAAAAGGATATACAGAGATACAACACTTTTAGTAATCATTAAAGTACAGTACCATCTAAAGCCTATCACAGATTTACCAAACTTGGAAAAAGCACATTTAAGATTAAGGCATTCTGTGCTATGTGCATGGCACTTTACAAAGCCACACTATAAGCCAATCCTACACTCTAGTTAATAATGACCAATACTGAAGTATGAGGGTGGGGTTCCTGATGTCTGCAAGTTACTCTGAAATAGAATAACAATGAAGTTGACTAATGGATGGACAGAGAGACAAGTGAGTATATGATGAAGTTCAGACCATCACTTATAGAACCTAAGTGATGGCACCCAGCTGTTACACCTCCAAATTTATTTCCATGTTCGTTTAGATTTTTTCAAGGTGAAAATTTGGGGACCTAAATTATAGAGCAGCTTGTATAATAGTTTTTATTAGACAAAATAGAAGAGATTTCTACAGAGTAGACAGGGAAAGCCTGAAGGAAACGGTAACCAAACTGCTAACCGTGCTCATCCATGATACAGATGGGTTCAACTCTCCCCGTGCTGACTGAGCTCACTGGGAAGCTGGCTCTGGAAGCTGGGTTACACCCCATTTCAGACCCAAGCATGCTTATTTCATACGTCCTCCAAAACCGAGGAGGGGTTGGCCTGCCTAAATCTATGACAAGGAGGGAAGAAAATTGCACAACAGCCTAAAAGTAAAAACTCTGTGTCTTTGAGAACGGTAGAAAGTGAACCGTCTCCAACTCAGAATGGACGTTCAGCCTTGGGCGGACCATCCATGGAGAGAAAGCTCACATGCTGACTGAACTGAACGGGACGTTCACTGACCGCCTCAACTCCCCAATGGATTTCTGCTTGGCGCGTGGCTGGACGTCACCTGTGTTTGCTATCTCAGTCAAGCCACTCCAGGGTCGCTACTGGACAGTGTAAATCCTGACGTGACGATAGTCTGCGGTCAAGGGCTGCTTCTCGCTACTCACTACTTGGTACTTCTCCTTTCCGTCTGCTCGCTATACTCACTCACCCGGGACTGAACACGTGGCCATCGCAGATCGCTCTTTAGACCACACAGAACACATGGAGACAGAGCAAGAAGGAAGACGACCTTTATGTTTTCTGTACATACTTAACTTTCTTCAGAGTCTACTAGTGAGGACATGTAACTCTAAATGCTTTTCAACCAACTGAAAAATAGAAATAGCCTAAAGCACAGACACCAGTGACCTTACAAACAAAATGTTTGAGATTTCTCACTTCAAATTAGTTTTTTTTAAAGCGGTACAGAACGATCTGCATAAACAATGTAAAATGTATAATTTTAAAAGATGTTTCTGAGGTTTCTAATGGAAAAAGTCTTATTTAAGAAAATACATTCTGTCAAAATTTAAAATAAAAAAGTCAAACAAGTCTAAATTGTCTTTAATTCTTCATTAGCAAATGAACAACCTGCTAAACACTAGATTCCAAGGACATACTATGTCCCAGAAAGCAAACACATTCCCATACAAAATCAAATGCCCACTTACCACTTGCAAATTCACTGAGATGAGCTGTACTTTGTCTGGCACTTGCATTGAGAAGTAGTATCTTCTTGAGTCATTCTTTTATTTATTTCTTTATTTACTTATTCCATCATATGGGCCTCCCGTCATTAACAGTTCCCTGCAAGTACCTATGAATAGTTTAACAATAACTGCTCAGAGATCAAAATAGTAAGCAGGTAGTCATTCTGAGAAAATGCCAATAACTAAGAGTGTTAAAATCAGAAATAAGACAATCCCACCCCACCTGACATGTGCATTCATACTCCACCCACCCCCAGGAGCACCCATGGCCATTATTCCTGGAAGCTCTCCTTTTTGAAATCACTCAGTTCCCATAAAACCAAATAATTCTATGTCCTGCATTTGGGCTCTACTGAACTTCCTTGGCCACAAAGCAGAGTCACAGTGCATTCTGAGCTCACTTGGTGAGACTCAGAACAATGATGACCAAAATGTGAAGCTAGACGTATCTAAGCATGACTGATGAATAGTGAGTAAATGTAAAATATATGTTTCATTCAAATTTTTTTAACAAAAGAATTTTCTTCCTGTAACAAAACCATGGAGAGTCAACCACAAAAGTGAATTCCTACAGTTCAAAATTTAAAAGACAATATTATAAAGAACTTTAGGATATACCAATTCACTCCTTTATTCAACCAAGTTATTAATTATATACTATCTTCTAGAGTACTGATATTAAAGAAACTCAGGTCCTCTGGAAGAACAGCAGGTGCTCTTAGGCACTGAGCCTTCTCACAGCTCCCACTAACTTTAACCAAGTTCAAAGGTGTCTCCTCTTTGCCTTGGTCTTAGGGGCCAAGTATTTATGACAAACTTGAGGAGCTGCTACCCCTCAATGGTAAATAAATTTTTTTCCAGGAAAAAAAATCCTGAGCATTACATGTAGTACATTTTGAAATATGGCCAAAGTCAATAATGCTGTAAGGCTGGAGCTCAATAGTGGCTTCCTCACAGCACTTTCTGTTAGTCACATTATTAGGAAAGAGCACAGGATAATCATCCATGAGTCAAATCCCAGGCACTTACTGACTTGAAATCAAGAAAGGCATCACTCTCTGTGGAATATAAATAATATCTAGCTTAGCCCCTAAATCCAAAAGTTAGGGGATAAGAATATCCAAGTGCCTCAGAACTATAAAATGTCATAAAACATTAACACTGTACACCTATTAACACTCTACATCTAAAAGAATATAAATAACTCCTTAAATAATTTTTCAAACATACCACAATAAAAACCAAAGTTGCAGATGGATATCTTTAAAGACACCCACAAAGCTATTTTGATTTTACTCTACTCTAAAAATTAGTTAACCATAGCAGTTAACTCTGAGATACCAGTCTCTGACTGACTCCCTAGAGTCAGCCAATAAGCTAATGCAAATTTTAAAATATCACAGATAGCATATTGTCAACAAAGTAGACCTAAGTCTTGTATGGGCATTAAAAATAAGGAGCTAGGTAAAATGGTGGCACAGCCTTGTTTCACTTTCCAAGCTTCATTGTAACATGGCAAAACAGAGGTAATAATGCCAACTTAGAGGACTGCTGTCACACTTCAGTGAGAAGCTGCTCAGCAAGGAAGCAGCATTGTCCAAAGGTAACTTGAAGGGAAGTGAATTAAAGTATTGCTTCTACCTTTAGCAATTACTAGAAAAAAGTATCCCTGTATCCCATCAATAAAAGTGGTACAGAAATTTAGCCATCCATCTACTTTCTACTTTGTTTATTACCAAAGCCAGGGAATTATTTGTCATAATAAACCCTTTAGGGCCAGGAAGATGCTTCAGTGGGTTAAAGGCACCTGCCATCAAATCTGATGACCTGCGTTCAATCCCTCAGACCCATCTGGTGGAAAGAGAGAACCAACTCCTTCACATTGTCCTCGAGCTATACAAACGCGCCATGACAAGCATGCGCCCACACACATGCATACACACATTCACACAAAATAACGAAACAGTCAGGAAAACCCCTTCAGTTACTGCAGCCTTGCCATTGGCATTGTGTTGCATTATAAGTATGCAGGAAAGAAAGAGGTGTGCCACATGCTGCCTGATAGATTTTCAAGCAGAAAAAGAAAACTATGGGTTTGATCTGAAACAAAGCCCTACTCCAAGTCTCAAGTGCAAAGCAAGGTGTCAAACTAGGGAGTGAAGTGTGGCTGGAAATCAGCACTTGACTTTGGAACAAGTCCAGGCAAGGAAGGCATTCTGAGACAGCTCTCCAAGAAGAGTCCGAAAGAAGTGTGGGTGCAGCGGTGTCCAAGTGTCCCACCCTTGTACCTCCAGCGGTTCAAGAATGGACTCTGTGGAAGGCTTTCAGCCACTGGATTTGAACAACGGCTGTTGCTCTTCACATGTATTTGCTGTTCTGTATACTGGTCTCATGAGTGAAATAACCACCAAGAACGTACTTCAACACTGAGCTAGAATTACATACTTCAGTAGACTCTAACAAAAAAAAAAAAAAACAATAACCTGGAAGATGTAGAATGATATCAACTAAAGACAGACTACCAAACATTGTTTCAGCCCATACAGAAGTTCTGTGGGAATTTTCACTGAGGAACATGGGAGTACAAGAACACAAAAGGCAACATTAATGTAGGATAGGGACAGGTTCAATAATAACCTTCCTCCAAAAATAGTACCAGAAAAAAAAAAAAAAAAACATGTTCATATCAAGTAAAAGCCAGAAATGAAGAAGCTAAGTAAGGTTCTTCCCGGCTGTTGACCCCCATGCTCTTCCAAGTAGGAAAGTGAGTAAGCCAGTGCCCTTCAAGAAGCCACTGGGCCAAGACATCCTGGGAGAAGAAAAGGAAGCTAGATTAGGTTGCCCACAATAGCAGAATTTACCAAAACAAGTATGAGTTAAGCACACTAATACTAAGTGCTCCTAACGATGAAAACCCACAAGTTTTAAACAACGTAGGAACTCTATAACCACAGAAAAAAGGCCTAAGACCAGAAACTGGAGATCACCATCAAGCACTACTAATTTGTACCTAATCTGATCAATCTATAGCGTATGTGTGTGTGTGCACTCATGCACATGTGCACACACATGTGCAACACACAGATATCTACATCCAGCCTTTTCAGTCCTGGAAGATGCTTAATCTACCCTAAGATGACTACAGAAGAAAAGGAGCCTTATAATGCAAAAGACATACCCAGAAAATGTCAAAATTTACCCCAGGGAGATGTAAACCAGGAAACAAGTAAATAGACTACCATTATAATAAGGTGTTTTGGGTTGGCTAGCTGCCTAACACATGGAAAATATGCCAATTAAAATGATACAGCTTAGTCAGGCAGTGTTTGCGCACACCTTTAATCCCAGCAGAGGCAGAGGCAGGTGGATCTCTCTGAGTTCCAGGCCAGCCTGGTCTACAAAGCGAGTTCCAGAACAGCAATGGCTACAGATAGAAACACTGTTTCCAACTACAAAACAAAAACAAACAAACAAAAGATACAAATTACTGGGGACTCAACCAACAAATCATAATCCTGACAAGACAGGAGGCGTGTTTCTTTCTACTTTTGTTTTCCATTCTCTTCCTCCCCTCCCCCTCAAATATATACGGCAGAGATCAAACACTTTCAATTTCAATAAGAGCCATTTATACACGGACTGTTCCACTAGATGATAAATGAATGCTCTTTTATTTCTAGAACATTTGAAAAGTTGAGTCTAAGTCCTAATATTTTTTAAATAAGAAAAGTCTACATTCCTTTGTTTTCCCAGTTATGTCTAATAAAGTTATAGTGTTCAATGTAAAACCCTATGCTGAAAACACTTCCATTGGCTCCATGTGGACATTCTCAGTTTCTTTACTAATATATGTGCTTTTCTGTTATGATTCTAAATCACCCACTATGAACTAGAGAATCAGGCAGTGAGCGAATAAGAACAAACATTATGATCGACTGATTTCCTTTTGTCTGGATCCTAATTGCTATATTGATGTGTGGATACTTAAGTGTTTAAATTTTCTTAATAAAACAAAGCATACTTAGATAGCAGTTTCTCTTGAAAAAGTACTATTTGGTTTCTTCCAGCTACAGCTCCTATAGTACTAACAGAAATCTCCACAGTCTGAAGATGTCTATTATAAGTCTACTCTTTTACATCCAAATTGAATTCTAGAGTTCTGGTACTACAAACATATTTACATTTTTTTCCCATGAGGTAATGCTTTAAATGTCCCCTCACCATGTCAAAAGGTGTTAAATTAAAAACATAGCATTTGCCAAATAAACATGGAAAGGCTTTTTTAAAAAAAACGGTTTTTGGAAAAGTTTAGCCTGGCTACCTAAATATATGGATGAGAAAATAAACTGGATCCCTGACCTACCCATGACCCCACAGCTGGATAGTACAGAAACCAAAAGAGAATCTGGTTTTTCTTTCCTCAACTCCAAATCGTATTTGTTTTATTTCCAACTGATTTCACACCTCTTCAAAAGCCTTACTATTGAGAGAGGGCACAACTAAGGAAAAACAGAGGACCCCTCTGAACTTTATCTGTGAATCTCAAGCGCTGGAAGAACTTAATGAGATACTGCACCAAACCCTTTCATCTAGGAACGGCTCATACTAAGCAGTCATCAAATGGCAAGTACTATTATTATCTTTTACCACAAAGTAGGTAGTGAATTTTTTTGGGGGGTGCACATATTAGCAGTGGGTGGAGGACCCATTTGACAAGTCTTTTTAACTTATACTTAATTACCCTTATTTGCCCTTATTTTGAGCTGCAATTTTACACTATGATTTATGACCCACCCACAATGACCTTGATTTTTTCCCCCTCCTGTACTTTTATGAACTGCTAGACTGCAGTATTTTCAAGTAATAATCGACCAGGTCCTCTTAGCCCTGAAGATACAAACATCTTCCACTGACTCGTAAGGGATCTTAAAATGTGACCCAAATACAGCTCGAGAAAGACCATAAATTTTAAACGATCACTGCAGTGTAAGTCCAGGTAGCGATTACAGAGAATGGTAACAAGTGCAAAGTGCTGCCATGCGGAAAGCCATTTTCTCAAAACCACCGGTGTGGCCGAGGGAGAGGAGAAGGTCAATGGAGGTGCACGGTTTCTCCAGGGGATCCTCTGCAGCTCCGCACCCGGCAACCTCGAAATGAATGAAACGCCGGGTCACACGGACAGCCCGGGCCCGGGAGGTGCAGGGAAGCCGGAGTCCCGGGGAGAACTCGGCGGATTTCTCTCACCACCCCAGTCAATCCACCGGCCGGGGAGGGGCCGCGCGGCCCGCGGGACCGACGCTCCGCGGCAGGAGTGGACCGCCCGCCGGCCCACACTCACCGCCGCCCGCTCCGCAGCTCTCCACTCGGCTCCGCGCCTCCGCCGCCCAGGCCGGGCCGCGCTCCCCTTCCGCTTCCGGGAGCCGGGACGCCGGGACCGGCCGAGTGGGTGTCGGCATGCCCGCGCGCCCGCGCGGAGGCACGGCCGCCGTCGCCGTCTCCGCTTCGCGCCCCGGAGCTGCGATGGGAGCCGCCGAGGGCCGAAAGACCTGAAAGCGCTCCGCAGCCCAGAGCTGCGCCCGGCTGGCTCTCACCTAAGGCTACCTGCGCCTTCCCGCCCTGCTGCCCCGGCCCTGCCCAGGGGGCCCGCCTGTGTCCCCACACTCTTCCTGCATAGGATCACCCTTAGCTTTAAGCAGAGCTCTGGTCTTCCGTTCTGTTAGGGGACAGACCTCTCTCCCCAGTGACAAGTTATGGATTTTTCCATATGCACTTTGTTTCAAAATGTCTGCAACATTGACAGCTCCAACGTTGGCTCTTGTAGGGAATGCATAGTCTCAGGCTTGCTCATTCTATACCTGATTTTTAATAGGATCTGCAGGTGACTCCTATCAGTGCAACCCAAAGACTGAAAAGCATCAGTGTTCAGTCTTATGGCCTCTAGACCCTCTGTTGGGTTGCTCCAGCTATCCAAGGTTTTTTCCAATTCTTGTTGGCAACCTAAATCCACATTCAAATATTCTTTGTATGTATTTCAGGAGATCTCTATAAGTTGCCAGCTTTCCAGTCAGTGAAACCTAGGAAAAATCATTGGACTCAACAGTTCAAATAACCCATCTCCCAATCTAAGTTGCTATCCTCACAAACGCCTGAGATACAGTGAGTAAAACTTTTTGCAACTCACCCCAGCTCCTAAAACAGCGCTATGGAAAGCTTACCACTGTTCAAGGTGTGTGGAGCTAGGTGGTTATGCCTACTTGACCCAGAAGGAGACAAAGTGTGAATGGGAGAGAGACTGCCTGCTGTGGGAAGTATGTACTTCGTTTTAAATGGTATTGAAAACCTTCCAGATGGAATTGTTCCTGGTGGTACCAATTACTCAGGTCCTGGGATGACAGCTGTACTAACTTTAAACTTCCCTGCAACTAGCTTGCGTCATTTCCCGTAGAATCCCTTTAATTTCGTTTCCCTAAAATGTCTTCTCTCTCCTCTTAGATTGAGGCATGATAGGAAGAAAGAGAAAAAAAGGGGACATGGGGAAGGAAAATAGAACCTCACCCTACGATTACCTTTGGTTTCCTCTTAGCTGGGTGTCAAGAAACTATAACACAACAACGTAAAGCCAAGGCTGCCCTCAGAGATAATGCTCCTTCCTCCCTCCCCCGATACATCTCAAACAACAATATTAAAAGTCGCTGTGGTCACTTAGAGCCAGATGGCTGTGGCTTTGAGTTTAACTCTATTAGCACCGCTCTCTCAACTCTAAATCTATAACACTGAACCTCATAAAACAACCTTACAATCTTATTTACAAAAAAGGACATTCTTTTTTGTTGTTGTTTTGTTTTGTTTTGTTTTTTTCAAGACAGTATTTCTCTGTGTAGACCTGGCTGTCCTGGAAACCAGGCTGCCTTGAACTCAGAGATCCACCTGCCTCTGCCTCAAGGGCATTCTTTAAGATAAGAGAAATAAGTAAATCATGCCCTTTCTTATTTTTAAGCTGTACTTAACTTTTAAACTTTGCTTAATCTTTAAACCTTGTAAATTATGTACTTTGAACACGTTAACTTAGAAAGCTGCAGAATTATATGTGTGTGTATACACACACATACATATATAAACTTATATGTATATATCATACAGACTCCTAGCAAAACTGCCTCCCCCCCCAAACACACACACACAATCATGTCTCAGGTGTGTAGTATTGTCCTTTCCTCAAGCACACTCCCTCTTTTGTGCTTGTTTCTCTTTTTCCTCACTCCCATAATTCTACCCCCACATGCACTTAAATCTGAAGTGTGTGTTGTCCCTTATTGATACTTAATAAATTCACATTGCCTTGGATAGTCTTTGAATTCTTTTCTGAATGTAGTTCAGGCTTTACCTTTGTGGAGGTCCTCCAATGACAATGCTGTATTGTATCTCCAACTAAAGACCAGCCTCCTGTCTCAGGCTCCTGAGTGGAGGGAATACAAGAGTGTGGCTCTATGTCCGTCTTTTGGACATGATGCTTTTAATACTAGCCAAATTGTGTGTGTATGTGGAAGGCGTGTCATCTGGAACCCTGCCAACACAGAGTTCTGAGTCACTACTGAACTTGTATAGCACTTACACCTTCATATTATCATGAGCTGCTTGGGAATTGAAAATGTGTTCTTTCTGACTGCAAACACTTCATGACCTTTGAAGTCACAGTTTAATTTTTTTTTCATGGTGTGATCCCCCAGACCAGCAGCATCTGTGTCACCTGGGAAGCTGTGAAAAATCACATTTTTCAGCCATACCCCAATCTACAGTACTAGAAATTTTGGAGGAGAAGTCTACAAACCTGTGTTCTAACAACCAGCCTGGTGATTCAGAACACACATTTGTGGGAGCCTCCAAAGATTACAACTTGTGGTTTGACTCAAGGTCAGAGAGTCAAGAGTTGATGTTTCTCTCCAAGGCTGCATAATAGGGTGCAAAGGCATGGTCGTCAGGTGTTTTATACTTCAAGGCCTAATCACAAGATGTTTTGCCTTGGGGCATGGTTACCAGGTGTTTTGAAGGGTCTACACTTGGTTGTACATTGTGCTTTGTTCTCTCCCCTTGGCAGTGTATAAAAAGCCCATTAGAAATAAACTTGAGGCTGCTGAGAATTGACCCAGGGCCCTACCAAAGCTATCCTGTGTCTCTACCTTTTTTCTTCATCTATATTTCTATCTAGCATTTCTCAATTCCTCATTCCTCCCTTCGAGGGACCCTTTGATAGGTTGGGGCTGAACCCCAACACTGAACCCCGACACACATTCATGTCTTAGAATTGTTCAGCTAGACTGTTACACCCTAAAGCAACCCCATGGTAGACACTGATTTGACTAGATGCAGGGGTTTTTTTTCTGTTTCACATTAATAAGTTCCCCCTTTCACATTTAGCTATGGTGTTGGAAAGCTTGTCACAGTTGCTTTTGGAATAAGTAACTTTGGTTATCATTATGCATTTGAGACAGTGAAATTTTTGTTACTTGGTTTCTTTGAACAGGCAAAAATAAAAAAAAGGTGAGGAGTAACTTTGAAGGAAAATACTTAGAATGAATTCCCCAAACCCAGTGACCTGAATTACATATTGTTTTGATATCTCTTCAGACATCTCTTTGGAGGGAAATAATCTGTGTCAAATGATCTCAACCACTGCCCAAAATAATTAGCTGAGACATATGAGTGCACATGAAAACTGAAAGTATACATGTTTTTTTATGCCTGTTTTCATAAATTAAACCTTCTCTAATCAGTCAAGCCAATTCCACAGAAGTTTTCTAGGGAAAGCATGGAAGGTCAGTGGCCAGAAAAATCCCCCCAACGGTGACCTGCTTTAGCATGGGAAGTTAAAGAATATAGACAAAGGACCACCTCCCTCATCTCATCCCATGATTCATGCTAAGCATTGATTGTATTGATAGGCACATGTCACAGTGAGTACACAGAAGAAATATGGCATCAATAGCAGATACTTGCCTGAAGAGGTTTTTGGTTGTTACTGCTGTTGGTCTTCTTAATGTTTTGATTCTGTCACAGTGAGGATCAAACCTGGGGCCTCAGAAACGCTAGGCAAGAACTTGACCAATGAACACCATCCCCAGCCCAAGAGCCTTTCTACTTAATTTAAGCATGGAAATAGGTCACACACCATATTTCCCTCCAGAATTCTGTTCTACTTCACGGATCTGTGATGCCGAAGCATGATTACTAATCAAACTGATTGTATCTGAGAATTAAAAAAAAAAACCATAGACAGGGACACGTAACAGGGCTGCCACTGCCAGCGTCATGTCTGACAATGGCACAGACAGAGAGCACTTGTGGAGACAAACCCCGCCAACTGCTGTGCTTCTGTGCCCATGCCAGGGAGGACTGGGTCTGACTGCAATTTCCAAAAGTCAGTGCAGTCCAGAGTTTAATCAGCACTGGCTAATAGCCCTTGGCAGCTTTGGGTGGATGGCGCTCTCCACCTGCCCAGCTGGGTACCATGCCCTAAGCACCCACATTTGATGCACATTCATGATTTCTTGGTTGCTCTTGTCATCACTTCCATCTGTGTGAGTGGCAGAGTGCCCATTCCAGAATAGACTAATCATCTGAAAGTTGGTCTTAACCTTGTTTGGGGTAGCACATCTCTTTGAACATGTGATGTAAGTTGTAGATCCCTTCCTCAGAAAAGCACACACACACACACACACACACACACAAGTGTGCACAATTATTTCATATATTTATATATAAAGTTCTACACACTGCCCCACTTCCCACATTTTAAGAGGCCCACAAGGAAGTTATGAACACCAGATTAAAAGCTTGCCCTAGGATGTTGAAAGTAGATAAAGTGAGCTTTTAAATTTCAAATAGCTAGGGAAACTCTGAAGAGCACCGAGTTCTTAGAAGACAAAGTGGAAGTGATGCTGAACAGACACATGCTAAGTGCTGCTGTTACAAAGCCAGTAGTCCCAATAGGGTGGGTCAGGGGTGGCCTCATGGTCAGGGGCGGCCTCATGGAGAAGCAAAAGAGAGCAGGACTTGGGGTTTAGGGTTTGAAGTAGGGTTCAAATTTCCAGAGGAGGAAAATGTGACTGATGAGCGAATGAAGACATGAAAACGTAAGGGCCCCTGTGGTATGGATCAAGTGTAGAATAGGTAGAAAGACAGAGAAGAGAATGGAATAAAACAGTCAAGTCATGATGAGCCACAGAAGCAAAGCTATGTCTGAAGAAGAGCCGGTAGACAGGGTCAATACCTGCTCTAAGCTGGGAAAGACTGCTACTGAAGGCATCATTGCCAAAAAGCAGAGTGGCGGTATGTTTGGAAGGATTTAAATATTCTAAACTGAACCTGGTATTTGTTTGCTTACTCCGGATGTTTTGACTACATCAAATAAATATTAACTTGGGATTGCTACATTTTGATAAATGTCAAAGGGAAATATATTCTGGTAGGTGTTCATATGAATTTAGATTCCAGGAC